CTTGATTCAGATGCATATTTCAGTATAAACTATTTGTTATAGTAATTATGATAAACTTCTGTTCTTATATAGGGCAAGGGCATATTACATTATGATATGCCCTTGTCTCTATGTGCTTTTCCAAATAGCCTTGAAACTATTAACCTTTTGTAGTTTCAGCAACAACTGTTTCATCATGTCATCCATTTCAAGGAGTAATCCTACTAGTTACCTATGCACTCCATATTCCTATGTGTAATATAATAGGTACCATTTCATATCAGCTTCTATACTGGCCTGGTTTGTTAACCTTTTTATCACTGTCAAGATAATCATGTCTTATTGTCTTCATTCAGGTTTGCTCTTTGCCGAGATAGAGAGACTTTCTAACACCAATCAAGAGTCCACTGAGAATACCTATCATCCTCTAGTACTGTGTGGTGATTTCAACAGTGTTCCGCACTCTCCTTTGTACAAGTTTATCAAGGAAGGTCATGTCACGTATCAAGGTATGGCCGGCGTGGATGTATCAGGACAGGAGATGGACGAGCAAGAGTACTCATGAGAAGCCCTCTATGGCCCAAGGAGATTGGAGTTAGCTCACACTGCCGTTATGAAGACACTGATGTCATGACACAATCATCTAGAAATTCAGGTTGGGTTCTTATCCTCTTTCTCGTGGAAGTTTTGTAATCTGTTAAAATTAAATAAAGGGCATTGGCAAAGTAGCTTTGGTAGACTTTTTAGTTTGTGTTCTTTTCATTTTTGGAAAAAAAAATGGCTAAATAAATAAATAAGTGCTTTCTTCTTTTACTCGGCTGGGAAAAAAAAAAATGGAAATGTTATTATTTTGCTAAATGAGTTTATAAGATATCCATGTTGTTTGATTTTAATCTAAAGTAATTTATGTTTTTCTATCTGTTTGCACACGTCTGTTTTATACAGCCATCATTACCCTATTTAAGGCTGTAATCCTCAGTATTTAAATCAATGAGCTCAGGGCATCAACTGAATGGTTTGTTGGAAATAGTGAAAATAGCAGCCCACGGGCTGAACTACATTCAGTTCACAATAAAAGCACTTAAAACATATAGCAATGTTAAAAAATTATAACATAATGCTTGCGAGAATACATTGCAAGTTCAGATAAATAAGTTACATGTATAATATTATGACAAAAAATGTATATAAAAAACCAGCATTATTCTGAAAGTTAACACTTATAACTGTGATTTAGAATGTCTCTTATGATACTGAATCCTGATAATTAGAGAAATCTTGTATAAGTAGAGTATAGGTGTGAAAGTAAGATGGAAGAAGCATAACTGAAAGTTAATATTCATGGAAACAAAGTTACAAAAAAAACGTTGTTTATTTTGCATAGATTTAAAATATGATGATGTTTTCTTATGAAATAGATCCTAACTCACCTTGAGTTTACTATCCACTTCTTGCCTGGGAATAGGTGACTAACATTTTTATTGATAAAAGCTGTTGACCTGAATCTTTTAACTTTAATCTATTAAGATGAAGTTTATTAGATTAATTGATGTAAATTCTCATTTTTGGTATTATCTTTGTACTTTGCATACAGGTGGTGCTCCAAGGCATAATCGACAGAATTCAAGAGATCGTCCTGCTGATCATTGTGTCCTGCCTGATGACAGCCAGGGACACACTCATCCATCCTTTCTTCTTTTCTTCCGTCTATGATCATTGCCATGGCAACTATGAAATCACCACCAATCATTCAAGTACAAACTGTACAGTGGACTATATCTTCTACAGCGAATCAATGTCATCTAAAGCAGGAAGTCCATATAAACCTCTAGGTACACCAAACTTCACAAGTAATCTTTCGCTTGTCAAACGGCTTACTCTCTTTACTGATGGTGAAGTCAGAGCCATGGGAGGACTACCTAATGTTCATTGGACATCTGATCATCTCTCTCTCCAAGCTACTCTACGCCTTACTACAATGGACTGACGGTGAAGTCAGAGCTATGGGTGGACTGCCTAAAGTTCATTGGACATCTAATTATCTCTCTTCTCTCAGTCTCCAAGCTACCTACGCCTTACTACAATGGACTGAATACTTGTGTTTTATAATTACATTTTTTGAATACCAATTGATTTCAACATTTTTGAGATGATGATTTTAAGTATAAGCTAGATCTTTTGTGCAGTAGTATGTTATTAAATGAAATGCCAAATGAAACCTAATTGAGATGAAAGGTATTTTATTGTTAATTTTATAGTTTTACAAGTCACTTTAAAGAATTTTGTCCAAAACAACCTGGAGGATAGAGTTGACATTTTAACCTTGTAAAAGAAAACTTCACTCTGGACAGCTGTTATTTATATGATGTCCTTTTATATACATTTATCGTAGATTCTTCATGAAGTTATACAGGTCTCTCAGGTCCCAACTCTTTGCCTTGAATATGGCCACCCTGTGCTGTCTTGAAAGTATTTTGCTAAGTCGCTCTAACAGAATTAACGTATGCCCTGAAAAGCACACAAACATAAGATTACCGTAGTAGTCCACGCCTCTAAAAAAAGTCCATAGAAAGTTGATGACTCAGTGCTTTGGCAAATATACCCTGAGCAAAGGAGAGCAAAGTCATGAATCTTAACTATTTGCACAATGGAAATGTATACGTGTACATGTCTTACTATTTCATCAACTTAGTACTCAAGGCATTACAATGATGGGTTATATCAACATCTGCTTGTCGCCTGTTTCACACTTTTTAACCCTTTTTGGTTTGTCGCAATTAAACTATCAAAGCTAAGCAGTCAGATACCATTGCTCAGGCACAGCTCAGGCAATTCTTTATAGATAATGATAAATTATAGTTATGATTTGTAAATATAATTCATGTTGATCATAAACAAGTGCACTTCCCCTCATGAGTTTCAGTACTCATCTCCAATAAATGTATGTTTTTTATTAAGAGAATGGTGTTTACTATTTATCCTTCTTCTCAACAAAGTTTTAGCTAAATTTACATTCCTTAATTCATTATTATTATTAATATCCAATTCATTGTGATATGTCAGGGTTACTGAAAATGATCATCATTACTCAGAGATATAAGGGGGTAAATACCCTTCTTTCTACTACCTCATTAATCCTGTATTATGTACTTAGGTTCTGAATTGGTTGTGGTAGCTGTACTTTCAATCTGGGCATAGGCCAGTTACATGTATGGTATTGATGATTGGTTGACCTTTGACCTGGGGGTATTGATGAATGTAGGATATATCAACAATAAGTACATGTATGAACAAGTGAGCTTTAAAGATACCATGTCCCTTTTGCAGCCCCATCAAATTCTGTAGAACATATTGAGGAATTATGAATATGTCATGTTTGCCCTATCTGTGAAATTTTACCTTAAGTAGTGTCCTAATATTCAAATTATGCAAGGAAACCCGTTTACTTGCTAGACTTCACATGAGCATGAGCAATTGTCTACATCAATAACCCACTACTTATAATTGCCCAATTTAAGCTGATTTAATCTTTGTGCAGCACAAAACGTACGACCATTCTTACAATGGTCTGAAAATTCACAAACTAATAGTCGTTATTTTCCCACTTAAAGACATTTTCAGCCCCTTTTGTTAGGGAAGTTCTAAATTAGTATTATCTTTCAAATGCCGTTCGAATTTAACCTTTTCATTTGTTTGCCCTGCAAAGGGGACATAATACCTTTAAAATAGTAGTTATCTTAATTTCAACAGACATTATTCAGACAAAACAGAAATATTGAGTTTGAACTATTTATGTGTACAGAGTGTTAGCATGTTGAGATAAACAATCAAATTCATTCATACTACTCCAGGAAATGTATAGTTTATTTAAATGATTTTTTGCAGACTAAGAATTCATATTGAGGCATTGTTTTTCACAGTTGCAAATTTGTTGAAATAAAAGAGACGAAGCTGATATATTTCTGATTTGATTTGTCCACATTCTATATTGCGTGTCTTGATTTGTGTATGCATGTACTTCAACCAATCAGCCTATCTTGACATATCGGATGAGATGATGAATGATGTTCAATCAAAGTTATTACCTAATTATGACAAAGGCTGTGTTTATATGGCTCTTCATAACAAAAATTCAAAACATGAATCACTTTAATCATGTTTTGCTGTACATATAGTGTGGGATCTTGTGAGGCATTAATGTGACTCATTAACATTGTTGAAGGTTGATGAAAAAGTTGCATAATTTGTGTATAAATGTACTTTATTCCTTCTACTGTACTAACCCTGTAACATGCACAAAATCCTGAAAAAATTCTCAAACCACAAGAAAATTTATGGTTTTCTTTGAGGGTGTCACTGTGCGACACCCTCTTACATTGAATTTTCCCAATCGTTTTTTCCATGAAAATAAGATATAAGACAGATTTTAAAAAAATCTGTCAACACTTAAATGTCTTGAATGGTATATAGAGCCAACTCCCTCCTTTGTGACGATTTACATTCACCTAATATGTAATTAAATTGCAATAATATAGTTGGGAGAATTAAGGAATCGATCAGATCAGTTTTTCCCAATTTTTATCATTATTAATGGTCTGTTTTCACTCAAACTTTCAGATTATCTTTAATTGTACATCTAACATTAAAGTCACTACCTTAGCACCATTTTCTCTCATCTGAACAAAGTTACCAAGTCCCTTTAATCATCACATCGAAATCGTTATTTCCATGAAACAGTTAAACCTGTAGTAGAAGTGTGATATAAAATACATGTATGAATGTATCTAAAAGCAGTTACATTGAGGCCTTTATATCTCCCTTTTCAAAACACAAAGATATAATACAAAATAATACAACATTAGTACTAGTAAAAATAATGATGATGATGATGACAATAATAATAACAATCACCCCCCACACACACACACACACACACACACACATGCTCCACTTGTTCTCATACGTTACTACTGTTTACGTATACGTGTATTTGTATAATATATTTGTCTTTCTCCAGTATGTCAGTCTATATGACTCACTCTAATTCTGTCTCTCTTTCTGAATGAAATCTCGATTCTCTGTTTCTTTTCTATTCCACCAAAATGTGTGACGTTCCCTCTGCCGCCTATACAGTTCCTCTCTCTTTCTCTCTCTCTCTCTCTCTGTCTCTCTGTCTCTCTCTCTGTCTCTCTCTATCTCTTTCTCTCTATCCTCTCTCAATGGCCCCTTCGTGTTTGTTTATCGTCTCGTTTGCTTTTGAAACTGTGCGACCTACCGTATCACAACCAACAATGATTTGACAAAAACGCAATAATATTTCACATTTGTGTGCTTTTCCGATATGCAGAATTGAATATTTTATGGTACGCGATGGTACGGTTGCAAAGGTATTAAACGCTAATTCAACAAGTACCGACATAATAGAAGGCCTTTTTACTATTCGTGCGCGAGATAAATTATTCTGTATGATCCGTTTGGAGTAGCATGCATTAGGTGAAGCTGAGAAATTACTACTATTCCATTAGAGTACCGACTAGAGTACCGGCACCATAGAACAGTACATCAATACATCTGTCAGCTAAACGATGGGCGGGATGACTATGGTATACATGTATATCTTAATATTCTACGGTATGGCTTTCATTCACAGAGGGACACCTGTACAAGGTGAGATTAACACGCATAATTTATGTAGGCATCATTCTGCTCTGTGTTACGTTCAGTGTGTCTGTATAGACAGATAAATATATTAAGAGAGAAAGTGAGACTGAAAGAGAGAGAGAGAGAGAGAGAGAGAGGAGAGAAAGAGGAGAGAGAGAGAGAGAGAGAGAGAGAGAGAGAGAGATTCGGGGGGGGGGGGGAGGGTGCTGTTGAGAAGGAGAGTATGATTCATTGAAATATGATTTTGCAATACCAACATTCTGGCATTATTATGGCAACAAATACCATGTATTAAACACACACCCCAGGTGGCAGAGACGATTTGTTGCTAGGTCGGACAAGTTCTTTGAGCAATATTTGTCAAAATACAATGATAGTATAGATTGTGAGCTGAAATGAAGGGGGGGGGGGATTGGACACAGCCGGGCAAACTATAGCCCCTTTTAATAAACTCGTACAGAAAATATACATCATTGCACTGCAGCAATGGGCCTACTTAATGACAACCTTGTACATAATTATTTTCTACGGCAACGCCATTTAAAGGGCTCACCTTTCAATATCATGCTTCATTTCCCTCTCGTATACATTATCAAGTAGATTTTAAACCCTTAAACCTCCTCTAAAGTGTTGGGAGCACCAATAATTTCACGTAAATTGTATCAGGCAGTCATATAAAACACATTTCTGAAAGGATTTTCAAAACAAATGTGTTTGAAGTCGAATATTGATAAAAGAATACAAAAAAAAAAAAAAAAAAAAAAAATCTGCGTACAACAGAAAACCCAAATTACGTATTCTTTTATCAATATTTGTCTTCAAACATATTTTGGGGTAAAATCTTTGTACAAGTGTTTCTAAATGACATCCTCTTTCAAATTATGATACAATTTAATTGAAATTTTGCCATTAAATTTGTTGGCAAATTTGGGGATGCCAACACTGTCTTTTGAGGGGCTTTTATTAATTAATTAATGCAAACAAATAACAACTCACCACTGTTCTCTCCAACACATAATAGTCTTGTTAAAGTCAAAGAGAACATAATACAA